GTTCCGGGTTTAGGGTTTCGGGTTCCGGGTAAAGGGTTAGGGGTTTAGGGTTTACGGTATAGGGTTTAGGGTATAAGAGATTTAGGGTTTCGGGTTTGGGGTTCCTCAAAGGAATCTATAAGGTTGGGGTTTAGGGTTCGGGGTTTGGGCATCTAATCTATAAGGGGTGTTTAAGGTGTCCTTTAAGGGATCTATGAAGGGTCTAGAGTTTAGGATTTAGGGTTTCGGGCTTGGGCTTCCTCTAAGGGATCTATAAGGGGTCTTTTGGGCGTCCTTTCAGGGATCTAGGAAGGGTTAAGGATTTGAGGTTTAGGGTTTAGGGGTTCGTTTAAGGGATCTATAAGGGGTATTCTTTCAGGCGTCCTTTAAGGGATCTAGGAAGGGTTTAGGGTTTGGGGGTTTGGTTTTAGGGTTGGGGGCTCTTAGGGTTTGGGGTTCCTTCAAGGGATCTACAAGCGGTCTTCCAGGCTTCATATAGGGGATCTGTGGAAGGTTAAGGGTTTAGAGGGTTTAGGCTTTGAGGTTTTAGGAGTTTGTGGTCTAGGGTTTAGGGTTTAATTAGGCTTTGGGGCTTTAGGGGTTTGGGTTTTGGGGTTTAGGGTTTGAGGGTTCTTTTTGAAGCGTCACGGACTTTTGACAGAGCTTTAGGGTTTGGGGTTTGAGAATCGGGCGTCTGCAATTTATGGGTTTCAGGCTTCGTCTTTGTGGATCTAGTGGTTGGGGATTACCGGGGTTCCTTAAAGGGATCTACAAGGGTTCTATCAAGGGATTTAAGGAATGTACCTTGGATTTAAGTAGGATCCCTAATATGATTTAAGGAATACCTCGATCCCAAAATAGTAAGTTGTGACCCCTTAATTAGAGGGTCTAGCCCCTAAAACGCTAGGTTTTTGGAGACCCAGGTAGGGTCGAGATCTGAGACATATCCCCAAGGGCCCATGTGCCCTTTCAGAGGGCTCCTCGTCACAGGGTTGCTGTAAGCATAACGTACGTGCCATAAGGGTATAGGGTTTAGGGTATAAGGGTTCAGGGTTTAGGCCCAAAACCCAAGGGAATGAAAATTGAAACTTTCAGAATCGACTACCTTATAAGAACCCCAAAACGTTGAAAAGTTGAGTTGACAGCCAATAACGGTATGGGGTGTAGTTTAGTGTATAAGGGTCCTTGTGCTCGAATAGTGTGCGTATCTTTGGGCCCCAAAGCGCTTTGTAGGGACTCCTCTACGGCCAAAGTATATACTACTGTGGCACATGGACCCCCTGGAGATATGAATCAACCGAACAACAGCCTTTCATGCTGCAAACAACTGGCCAATCCTACATCCCTCGATTTCTCTGATCGCAGAAGCCAGAACCCAAGCCGCAGAGCCATTAAAGGATCTAAAAACCAGAACCTCCCCCCAAGTGCCCCTGCTGGCCTATCTCCTTGACGCCGCGGTACCGTTTTAGGTAGTCTCCCTCTAAGATCAGGTTAGGCTATTTTGGGACATATATCCTATTTGGCAAAAATAACCTATATAGGTTATTTATATAAATAAACTATAGGTTATTCTTCCGGTTATTCTATAGGTTATTTTATAGGTTATATCTGAAATAGCCTATTTCCTACTGTAGAATATAGCTTAGAAATTGCTTACTGTGTTTGTCAAACTAGCATCCAGTTTGATAGATTTTTGCATAGAACATTGAAATTGACATATTTTTCTAAGTGGCAGACCTTTGCTTGTGGTTGAAGGAATGTTTTTAGGGAACTCAGAAACAACTGCAAGAGAGGCCTCGACCGCTTGTTTGCGAAAGAATACATGGAAGCTTTGGAGCAAATTCCAGCCGTCTTTGAACAATCCAAGATCCCACAGCAGGCAGGAAACGACAACAGCATCGATCTTTTTAAGCTCTTCCTGGGAAGATTTCTCCAGTGTCCTGTGTTGTGCAACCGGAACGATGGTTGGCAGCAAGAAGTGTTTGCGATGCGAATTATATAGACCGTACGGGTTCGGTGCTTCAGGATCCATCTCTTTCGCAGTGATTTTCTCAGAAAAGCACAGCGACATCGACTGTTCACCAGCTTCGACCGGGTTTGCTGTACACAGTCGTCGGGATCCCACGAATCATCGCACGAGTCATAGTCAGAGGCATCACTGGTTGTTTTGGGCTCTGGACTCTTCCAATCCTCCCAACAATCTTCGCTTTCGTAGATCCACCCATAGTACCACGGCATGGTGCAGGGACTCCGGATCGGCCCAGTTTTGCAACCCTAAACCCTACAAACCCTAAACCCCTAAACCCTAAACCTTATAAACCCTAAGTTTAGAGGGGTAGCATAGAGCAGGCTTGAGGTTTTGCTTTGCACTTCCACAGTCGAGATGTTGGAAAGAAAAACGCATGCAAAGGTTTCTAGGTAGCAGAAAAAGAAAAAAAGCAGCATTTTGCTGCTGAACTCTGCCATGGCTGCCATGGATACCCGTCTGAAGTGCGACCCCCTGATAGCTGTGGGGGACCTGCAGAGGTGCTTCAGGGAGCAAGTCCGACGGGCTGACCTTTGGCACACGGTGCAATGTCCCCGTGGGGCTCAATGGTCATGGAAGACAGCCATCAATGTCGAATGGCTTTACCAGAGCCGCTACTTGCTACAGGACCTGCTTGGGGTCGCTCCGAATGCCGTTCTCCCGAGTGTCAAACTCCGAGCTGCAGTTCGCCGATGCCTCGAGACCCCGGAGCTGAGGATGTCCAAACACGGCATGGACGTGGAAACTTACACGGATGGCATCGACCAGAGGGTCCGTGTCCTGATGTCGCAACTTCGGGACTTGAAGAAGGACGATAAGTATTTCCCGGCAATGAGGAAAGCCAGCTTGGAGGAAAAGGAAGGTCTGGACAAGTTGCTGACCTTCTTGCAGGACCCTGCAAGTGCGAAAAAAACTCAGAAAGCCGAGGCGAGCCAACCTTCGACTTCCTCAGCTTCTGCCTCCACGGCTTTGGTACTGTGGCAGCCGCCAAAGGACCAGGCAGCAGGCAGCTCGGTCTTCAGTAGAATCCTCGCGAAAAAGGGCAGCGAGGAATCTGAGTTTCGAGCAGACCCGCCTAAAGCTTCGCCGAGCAAAAGGCTTCGAGCTTCGCAGCCTTTTCGTGTGCGAGCTCTTTGTTCTCCTCGGAAGAACCAGGCTTCGCCTCGGAAGCAGGCTTCGCCTCGGGAGGCGGCCTTGTCCGACGTGCTGGACAGTGAGGCGGCGAAGGCCGTAGATGAAGCTTTGGTGTCTTCGCCTACGAAGAAGAGGGCCTTGAAGAAACCAGCTGCTGCTTTCAAGAAACCAGCTGCTGCTACAAAGAAAAAGACCAAAAAAGCGCCGAAAACGGAGGAGGCTGCCACCGAGGAGGGAGAGAAAAAGAAGTTTAAAACTACCTTCAAGCACAGAAAAACGAGCCAGGCCTACCACCGGGAAAAGTGCCTTCAAGAGCGACTGGGCTTGTCTCCGCAGTCAGCGAAAAAGAAAGCCAGAGAGAAGATGCGGGAAGTGGCCGCCCTCATCGATTCTGGCAAGCTCGTCGAGACTGACTGAAACCTCTGGGTGGCGAGGAAAAAAATAGAAGTCTTTTTGGCGGGCAGGATTAATTGTTCGGGTTTTCCCAAAAGCTCAGGGTCCTTAGTTTTTCTTCACACTTGTGGTTTGGCAATAGATGTTCTGATATAGCATGAAACACCAAAAAAGTAGCACAGCGACGTGTAATGGAGATAGTTTTTACTTCGAAGGCACACAAGAAGCACCTCTATAAGTCACATATAATACACCTGATTGGCAGGCTCGGTTGCTACATATAGTCCCTAGGATTTAGGAGGCAGCTTTAAAAAAGGCGCCGAATCCGATTATGCAGCAGGCCCCAGCGGTTCCAAAATGTAGGATCTCTATGTAGCACAAAATCTAAGTACCAGCTTTTTGTCGACGTCCCAATCCATGTCGGTAGCAAAAACTTAAGTAACAGCTCTATCTAGGTCAGAATCCATTTATGTAGCCATATAAATCTAAGTAGCAGCTTTATCTAGCCCACCAACCATCTAGGAAGCCAAAATCCAAGTAACAGCTTTATCTAGGTCGTAATCCATTTAGGTAGCAAAATTCTAAGTAGCAGCTTTTTCTAGGTCGCAATGCTTTTGCTAGGTCGCAATCCATCTAGGTAGCAAAAATCTAAGTAGCAGTTTTTTCTAGGTCGCAATGCTTGTGCTAGGTCGCAATCCATCTAGGTAGCATAAATCTAAGTAGCAGCTTTTTCTAGGTCGCAATGCTTTTGCTAGGTCGCAATCCATCTAGGTAGCAAAAATCTAAGTAACAGCTTTTATTCTAGGTCGCAATCCATCTCGAAATTTAACTTACATCTTTTAGGTCGCAATCCATTTAGGCAGCACAAAGGCGCTAGGAAGCAAGCCAGGTTTTCCCCTAACCTGAAGCCCTTCTGCAGCCCAGAGCCCGAAGAACTTTTCGGCCGTCGCTCGCTCCGATGGCTCGCAGGAGGAGAACCCAGAGAGGAGAGAGGCACAGCAGCCACGACAGAGACCTCACAAAACTGAAGCAGGGCAAACACAGCACTCGGTAGAAAGAGCACACTGCAGACACTAGCACACAGGGACCCCTGATTTAGGGTTTAAGGTTGAAGGTTCTAGGTTTCTTCTCACAGAAGCACCACACACACAGTAGTCTCCACTCAGCGGTTCTCCTTCCCCCGACAGGCCAAACACGTGGCCGCTGTGTAGGACCAGCACACAGGCACACTTGCAGCCACTTTCCAACAGACGGACAAGCAGAGGCACACACACACAGACACACTGAGACACACACGGAAACACCGACAGAAACACAGACACAGACACACGGACAACTGCAGACACAAACACACACACACACACACACACACTTACTTGCTTAGTTACACACACACACACACTAACTAACTAGGCCAAAGTTCTAAGTAGCATGCTTCTCTAGGTAGCATCTCACGAGAGCCATAGCCATGGCCAACCTGCCGCCAGACCGCACGGTCTGGCTCGGCGGCCTTCCCTCCTGGCTGTCGTCGGAGGAGCTGTACCACTGGTGCTGCAGCACTACGTGGCCGGTGTATGCGGAGGTGGCTCCGAGTGGCCACTCGCTGACATTTGGCTATGTCATCTACAGCTCGCAGGAGGAAGCCGAAGAAGCCGTGACAGCTTTGCCTGCAGGTGTGGCTGGCTACCGGGTCAGCAAACGACCCTGGCAGGGCAAAGGCCAGGGCAAAGCGGCAGCAGCACCGAAAGCTGCAGCTCCGAAAGCTGCAGCAGCACCAGCAGCAGCAGAGGAGGAGGCTGCTGCTGTTCCCAAAGCAGCAGCAAAGGCGAAAGCTGCAGCAGCACCAGCAGCAGCTGCAGAGGAGGCTGCTGCTCCGAAAGCAGCAGCAAAGGCGAAAGCTGCAGCAGCACCAGCAGCAGCTGCAGAGGAGGCTGCTGCTCCGAAAGCAGCTGCAGAGGCCAAAGCTGCAGCAGCACCAGCAGCAGCACCTGCAGAGGAGGCGGCTGCTCCGAAAGCTGCAGCACCAGCAGCACCAGCAGCAGAGGAGGCTGCTGTTCCGAAAGCTGCAGCACCAGCAGCACCAGCAGAGGAGGCTGCTGTTCCAGCTGCACCAGCAGCAGCACCTCGGACTCCAACAAGTCCTGCTGAGGAGCCAGCAGCAGCAAGGCCAAGGGCAAGCCCGGCAGCAAGCCCAGCGGCAAGCCCAAGCCCAGCAGCAAGCCCAAAGGCAGCAGCAAAGGCAGCAGCAAGCCCAAAGGCAGCAGCAAGCCCAAAGGCAGCAGCAAGCCCAGCGGCCAGTCCAGCAGCAAGCCCAGCGGCCAGTGCAGCAGCAGAGCCAGCAGCAAGCTCAGCACCAGCAGCAGCAGCAGCAGCAGGGGAGCATCCGTGGCAGGAGGTCTACGAGCAGAGGCCATGCCGGGATCCTGGCCTACGGAGCCCACGACCTCCACCTCGCCCTCGAGGCTCCGTGCAGCAGCAGCTGGCGAATGCCACTGCTGCTAGCAAGTCGCTGGCGGCCACTTGGCAAGAAATATAGTTCTAAGAGAGCCTCTCGGTAACAAGGCTCTATAGGTAGCAAAAAGACTGGATAGGTAACATGCTTCTCTACGTAGCGGAATCCACTAGGTAGCACATTCTAAGTCACAGGACTCTAGGTAGCAAAAACCCTAGGTAGCAAATTCTAAGTAACAGGACTCTAGGTAGCAAAAACCCTAGGTAGCAAATTCTAAGTAACAGGACTCTAGGTAGCAAAAACCCTAGGTAGCAAATTCTAAGTAACAGGACTCTAGGCAGCAAAGTCTCTAGGTAGCAAATTCTACCTAGCAAACCTCCCTCTCAACTGAGGTGAAAGGGATGCTGCCCTGGCAGAGGAGGCAGCAGGCCAGGGCTGGCTCTTCGAAGGGGGCTGGCTCTTCGAAGGACCCTCCAAGGGCACCCTCGACTACCTCGTCTGACGAGCAGGAGGAGTCGGAAAGCGAAGAGGATGACGAGGTCATCGAGCCGGAGGGGGCCAGAGCAGCCACTCTTCTGGCTGCTCGGAGGAGAGGTGAAGCTCTCCTCCGAGCAGAAGCGGAGCAAAAAAGAAGGCTCAAGGAGAAGGAAAGAGCCAAGGAGCAGAAAAGACTCCGCAGAGCAGAGGAGGAGGAGAGGCGAAAGCGCCGAAGAAAAGAGGAAAAGGAAAAGGAAAAGGAAAAAAAGGAAAAGAAGGAGAAACGCCACAAGAAGGGCAAAAGCAAGGAGAGGAAGGAGAAGAAAGAAAAGTCTGGAAAGAGAGGAGGAGATGATCCAGCTGGCCACGAGGAGAAAACTTCCGGGCCTGGGGATTCTAAGTCGCATATACTTGTAGCTTTATCCTGCAGGAGCGAAAGGGAAGAAAGAAGGAAAGAAAGGATGGAGATTAGAGAAGAAAGCAGGCGGGGGACACAGAGCCACGAGACTCAGTGCACCGCCAAACTTCCCGTGCAGGCTGTCTTCCGAAAGTCTTCCAAGAAGAAAAAAGAAGGAAAAAAAGAAAAAGAAAAAGAAGGAGGCAGAGGCCAGCTCTAAGTTGCAGTGTACAGCATTTAAATAAGTAGCAGGTGTAATGCAATCTAAGTCACGTGTCTTCTAAGTAACAAATTCCTAGGTAGCATCAAAACTAGGTAGCAAAAACTCTACCTAGCACAAAAAATCTAGGTAACAAAAAAATCTAAGTAGCAGAAAAAATTAAGTAGCAAAAACTCTAGGTAGCAGAACAAAACTAGGTAACAAAAAAAAAGCTCTAGGTAGCAGAAAATAGTCTAGTCGCACGTACATTTAGGTAGCATCTCTAGGCAAAGCTAGGTAGCAACCCGAACCAAGAACAAAGCTCCCAGGTCGCATTCTGAGGGGCTCTCGGATCTTCTTACCTCTGCCTCCGCTGTGGTGCCAAAACGGGCGGCCGAGCAGAAGGGTTTTCCAGGGTTGCGGGTTTTGGGGGGCTTGGGCGGTTGCTCCGGTCAGGGCTTCTGTCGAAGTTTCTGGATTTAGGGTTTGGGGTAACGTGTCTAGGGGTTTAGGGGCTTAGGGTTTGGGGTTCAGGGGTTTAGGGGTTCCAGGGTTTAGGGTTTGGGGTTCGGGTTCGGTGGTTAAGTTAGGGTTTCGGGCCTTAGGGTTTGGGGTTTAAAGTTCAAGGTGTCTAGAGGTTCAGGGGCTTAGGGTTTGGGGTTGAGGGGTAGACATGCAGGCACCCACACGGACACAGCGTTTTTTTGTATTGGATACGTATATATTGTTTTGAGGTTCATAATTATTCCTTTCCGTCTTCAATATGTTCTTTTCACAATACACATGAACTGTGAAGTATAGTTTTGCTACACTCTTTTCAAACCAACACATTATTCTATGTGAAGATTTTTCAGATACTTGTGATTTTTTGTGTTTTGTTTTATATTGTAGTTTTACTAAGGTCCAGTTGCAACCATTATGTTAATGTTATTTTTCAATGCATTAACATGTTTCAGTTTATTCATATACATTTTTAAGAAGACCGGTATAGGTTTTTACAAAAAGGTATGTAATTCTTTAAAGTTTGGATATGCATTTTTGAAAGATTTTGTTAGATTTGTTTTTAAAATGTTGCTGGATTCTTTTCAAATTTTGGTAGATTTTTTTCAAATTTTGGTAGATTTTTTAAAAAATTTGGTAGATTTTTTTAAAAAAATTTATATTTTTTTAAATTTTTTTATATTTTTTGTTAAAATTTTTATAGATTTTCAACAAAATGGCGATCCAGTTTGAGTCCAGTTTGAGTCCAGTTTGAGTCCGGTTTCATACAAACTGGATCGCCATGGTTGAGTTTCATATGAAACTAAACCATGGTGGTTGAGTTTCATATGAAACTCAACCATGGCGATCCAGTTTGTATGAAACCGGACTCAAACTGGACTCAAACTGGACTCAAACTGGATCGCCATTTTGCTGAAAATCTATAAAAATTTTTAAAAAAATATAAAAAATTTGAAAATGATGTAAAAATTTTTAAAAAAATCTACCAAATTTTTTAAAAAATCTACCAATTTTTTTAAAAAATCTACCAAAATTTTAACAAAAATCTACCAAGTTTTTAAGGAAAAAATATAGATTGTTCTGAACAAATGGATCGATGTTTTTGTAAGAACAATATGGAAACTTTAGATGTATTTAAAGCTATAAATCAACTTATCAAGCCCATTTTGCTTAAAAGCCCTGGTCCCCTAAAAAAGGCGCTTTTACAAAACATAAACAATACATCGAATATACATAGGTTATGGAAACTTTATGTATGTATACATGTCTATATATATAAATACATAAATGCAGATATGTCTATGTATCTATACATAGCTAGAACACATTGTAACATACACACTATGTATATACAGACATATACATATATGTCTGTATGTGTATGTATATATACACAAGTGTCTGTGTGGGTGCTGGTATGTTTACATGTAACCCAAACCCCCAGAAAGACCAGAAGCTGAACCCTAAACCCTAAACCGTGCCCCTAAACCCCTGAACTTAGCCCTAAACCCTTAAACCCCCCTAACCCTATAAGCCCCTAAACCCTAACCCCCAAACCTAAACCCAAAACCCAAAGCCCTGGAGCCCCAAAGCCCAAAACCCCTATAAACCCCCTTCTCCCCCGCAGGCCAACACCCACAGAACCCCAACACCTATATAAAATGCTAAAGAGCTTTGACCCGCATAAATCCCAAAGCCACAATAAACACTCTGCCCCGGAACCCGAAGCCCCCTGAAACCACCGACCTTCAACCCCAAAATCCCCCAAGCTTACACCATCAAATATGTCTCCCAAAGAGCTACCAATACAACCCCAAACCCCCAGAAAGCACGAACCCCTAAACCCCTGGACCTGCAAGCTTAAGCCCACAAAGCCAGACTCCTTAACCCACCCTCGCAAACCCGCACCTAGCTGACCCGGGTACCTTTTAGAAGTTTGCTACGTGAAACTATTTAGTCTTATGTTACAAACATGCAAGAAATCTAAGTAGCAGATGTTGCTAAGTCACAAATCTACGTACAACGAATTTTAGGTACAAAGGATCCAGAAGTAACCCACCCCAAGTATCAACCAAAACTATGTAGCAAGCTAAACGGAAGTTTCAGTACATCTAAGTCACATCTAGCAACTTGAAACCGAATCTAAGTCTCATAACAAGGCTAAGTAACGAGCAGAAAATAAAGTTCTATCTAGCAAATTGCAGTAGAACTAAGTCACAACAAGACGACACTTATCTCACAGCGAAAATCTAGTATCTAAGTCACATCTTGGAACTTCGAACCGAATCTATGTCACATATCAAAACTAGGTAGCAGAAAGAATAAGCAGCTTCCTCTAGCATATAGCAGCACGTAACTATGTCACAACTAGGACACGAGGCAATCTAAGTCACAGAGAAAATCTAGGTAGCAAGGAAATTTTCTAAGTTACCAAACAAAGCTTCGTAACAAACTTCTATGTTTCGAGATTTCCTTTTCCAGGTTGCACTGTGTAGTGTGCTTCCTAATAAAAATAAGGCAATCTAAGTCACAGAGAAAATCTAGGTAGCAAGGAAATTTGCTAAGTTACCAAACAAAGCTTCGTAACAAAATTCTATGCTTCGAGCTTTCCTTTTCCAGGTTGCACTTTGTAGTGTGCTTGCTATAAAATAAAGTAACAGACAGAAGAGACCTTTAAGCTCTGACACATGGCAGGGACCCTGCCCATCCGAACATGCGATGCAGCTTTTGGGTGCTCAACACAGCAGCGAGCTGTAGCACCGTAGCCGTGGCCTCAATGGGGGTCATGAAGAAGCCTGCTGCAAAGAAGGCAGCCACTCTGCCGCCAGAGGTGACCGAGGCTTTGGAAGTGGTGCCAGGTGTGGAGCAAGAAGACGACCCGGCCGAGAAGCACGAGGAGGAGGCGGACAAGGAGGCGGACCAAGCAGACCCAGAGGGTGCAGAGGAGGAGGAGAACCTCGAGCCGGACGAGGAGGAGCCAAAGGCACCGTCCAAGCCCAAGGCCAAGGGAAAGGCCAAGGCAAAAGCAAAGGCCAAGGGAAAGGCCAAGGCCAAAGCCAAAACCAAGGCTAAGGCCAAAGCGAAGGCTGCCCCCACAGACAACCAGGAGAACAAGTCCGGGGGTGGCTCGGGGGGTGGCTCGGGGGGTGGCTCTGGGGGTGGAAAAACCTCCAAAAGCCTTGCCGAGAAGGCAAAGGGGTGGGCGGCCCAGTCCGCCACCGAGGACGAAGGCCGCGACCAAGTGAAGGCGAGAAAATATCGCAAGTTGTGTGACTCGGGTGCAATCCCGTCACACATACAAGAGGCGATAGAAAAATCGTCCAGCCGCTCCGGCAAGTCCAAGCTGATCAATGCCCTCTTCGTCAAGGATGGCAACGGCCAGCTCGTGATGAATCCCAAGGACCCGGTCTTCAGCAGCACCAAGACGGCGAGCCACGAGAACTACGGCAAGGACGAGCGACTCGGAAAGCCTCGCCACGTGTTTCTGTGGGAGACGTACCACGGAAACGAGTCCGCACTCCAGCAGGGCATCGACACGGGTGCCGTGGACTGCTGGACAGTCGGCGGGGTGGAGATGTGCTCTTACCGCACACTCAAGAGTGGCATGGCGAAGAAGGTCTCGGACAACCACAACCTCCACGGCGGCGAGCAAAAGCTGAGCAAGGGCGCCTTCGGCGAGGTGAGTGCCGCCCTGGACGACCTTTCCTTCGACTTCGACGATGCCGGCTCCCATGCCATCTGCGATGTGGCCAGCTCTTCCGCCTCCGGCAGCAAGGCGGCCCAGAAGATGTTGGAGTCTGGAAAGCTCTCTGACAAGCAGCGGGCCGTGCTGGTGGAAGCGAAGGAAGCCGTGGACAAGCTTCACGGTACGGGCATGAAAATGGCCCAGAAGTGCAAGAGTGACGAGGATCGCTTGAACTTCAAGGCGGTTTTGCTCGAGCTTAAGGACTGGAGCCACAAGCAGGAGCATGCCCTCGCCTGGGATGAGCTGCCGTCCGGAGAAGCCATCTCTGAGCAGTCCTTCGCCGCCTTTGTCAAGGAGCAGGCCGCTGCGGTCACGACTTTGAACGAGAAGGTGGAGCAGTTCCGGGCTTTGTTGAAAACCCGCAAGGAGCTCTGAAAGAGCTCCTTTTCTTGGCCGTGTTGCAGACAAGGTGTTGCCTCTGTCTGTGTTTCTAGGTCCCTATAAAATTGAAAAGTTTTCTTCATGCCCCCATTTAATTGAAAGGTTTTCTTCTCATGTGTAAGAATGCTAGACATAGACGATGTAGGCTCTCACAGGGCTTCACAGACAGAGGCTTCTATCTTGCCTGCGGGCTTGTTCTAAGTAGCAAAGCCCCACCAGAGGGCCCGGCTCTAAGTAGCAAATCACCTGCGGCCGCCGGGAAGCAGAGCCCATAGACATCGGGTTTTCTGCATGGCCTTGTGCAGGTGTGCAGCTGCTGAGCGCTAGGGCCCCTCTCTGCCCCAGGCACCGAGAATAGTTCCACGAAGGCGGCTTCCTCGCAAAAAAGCTCTCACGACTCGTGTGAGGACCAGCAGCATGCAGCCGGTGATGTGCAGAATCTTGCAAGTCTTCAGCCTAAACCCCTCTGGAGCCACCTCCCAGTGAACTTTTCCTTTGCACAGCTTCTTTCTGGCCCTGCGGTAGAAAAAACCTAGGCAGGCTCACAACAGAAACATCCATTTGTGTATTCCTTTTTCTAATGCCCAATGGCCCTCAAATCTTGGGTGAAGATCCACATTTCGGTCTCTCTAATGGCCCCACAGATTCCCGGTGCACGGCTGCTACACAAGGTCTATAGGAAAACCGAGGCACAACACCCGTGAAGATCTATTCCTCTTTCTAAGGGCCCCGTCCCCGCAATCACAGTTTTCTGAGTAACACAATGGTCTCTTTAATGGCCCCACAGACGGCCGCTAGACAAGGTTTATAGGAAAACCGAAGCACCACACCCATGAAGATTTATTCCTCTTTCTAAGGGCCCCGTCCCTTCAATCAGAGTTCTCTATAAGTAGCAAAAAAGGGCCTTCTCTCTACGTAGCAATGACACCTCCCTGCAGCCATGGACGGCGAAGCAGAAGCTGCTCCCAAAAGACGACGAGTAGTGGTGGGTCAGAGACAGCGACTTGCCGCCGCCGAAGCTCAGCAGGACCAGCCGTCTGTTTCTGAAAGTTTTTTGGCCAAGGACCTGAAGGAAAGATGGTCTTGGGGCGATTTGTCTGTCCAGGCCATGCAGGCACTGGCTGCGAAGGCTGTCAAAGACTTCGAGAATTGTGGAGCAAAGGCCCCAACGGAGTTGCAAGCTCTGGCGAAGCTGGGTTCAGGCGGCATCCACCCTAACAACATGAGACGTGAGATCATGAAAATTACAGAAGTTGGTTGCAGATTGCCGCCTTTGCAGCGGACTGCTCTACAGTTCAAGCAGCCCTGGGGAAATCAGCCCCAGCTCATGATGCTGCCTCATGAGATGTTCTCCGCCTTGTACGAGAATTACCACGAAGCTTTCAAGCGGTACGTGGTGGCCGATGCGAATGTCTTGCAGGAGTTCTGGCGGCTACAGAAGAAGCACCCGCAGTTCAAAGACCACCCTGTGGTAAGCCAGGCTTCCTTTGAGCCTCGAAAGTTCGTGCCGCTTTCTTTACACGGCGATGGAACACCTGCAATAGGTGTCGGGAAGATATGGAGCCGAATGTTAACCACCTGGAGCTGGTGTAGCCTGGTTGGTGGTCCTGCCTGGACCAAGGATTCGCAACTGCCCATTTATTTCCTCTTCGATGAAACAGATGACGGCACAGCAGCGACTACCTTCCTCAGCATGCTGGCCTGGAGCTTCAAGGTGCTGCAAGAAGGTCTTTGGCCCTTTGCAGACCACAAGGGCAACCTGCACCCGGGATTGCATCATTATCTTTCTGGTTGGGGTCAAATCGGATAAAACTCATTCTCTTTCTAACAGAAGTAGAAACACGTCGCATAAGAGCTGAATGCCTTTTCTTTTCTTTATAAGTAAAAAGCCCAAGTCGAATGTGTAAAGGACGAAAGTTTCTATGTAGCAGCGAAACACTAGCGATAACCTCTTGTTTTTCTGTCTTATAAGCAACAAAATGGAATCCTAATCTCTTTCATGAGTCACAGGCAAGATGTGCTATCCAAAGTCTACTCACACATAAGCAAAGCTTCGCTCTAAGTAGCAACAAACTTTAAGTAGCAACTTTTGGTGGCAGACAATGGACTGTTCGAAGTAACACTTTTCTGTCAGCTTTCACACTGTCAGAGGTACCCGCCCACGAGCGACCTGGGCCGTAAGGCAGGATCGCCCTTGGCGGGGGGGTGGAAAGGCGTCATCTGGGCATTGGTCGGCGATCTTGAGTATATGGTCTCAAGATTGAACATGCCACATTTTGGCCAAAAGCACAACCCGTGCGGCCTTTGCAAATGCTCGGGCGACGAGACTTCCACCTCCTGGAGGAATTGCAAACCGACAGCGCCATGGCTCAGCATGCAATGGTCTTTGGCAGAGTGGCGGTCTTTTCCGGACCGCCCGAAAAACCCGCTGTTCGACAGCGGAGTATGCTCTGCACTCAGTTGCCACATGGACTACATGCACACGAAGTACTTGGGGCTGGATCCTCTGGGATTCGGGAGTGTGCTGAGCTTGCTCGTCAACTTCGTGTTGCCCGACTCACCTCTCGCGAATTTGCGATGTGTGTGGGAGCACCTGCTCAGCTCCTACAAAGCCTTGAAAATCGTGGAAAGGTTCAGGGGCATGAGAAAGCTCAGTCTTTTTCAGAGGAAGAAGCTCCCGCCGAAACTCAAGGGGAGAGCCATGCAGATCCAGGCTCTGGGGGAACCACTACTCCTCTGCTGGCAGAATTTCATGAACAAAGACCTCGAAATTCACCTCAAGATCGAGAACTACTTGAAGGTGAATCTAGCCCTCGAGAAGATCCTGCATGCTACGAGGACCGAGATGGCCATGCCTCCAGACCATGCGGAGAAGTTCAAGAAATTGGCTTTCGGGCTCTGCCAGCTGCACCGACAGCTGCGGGAACACTTTGAAGGAAACTACTTCGCAGACCTCCCGAAGATGCATTTCTTCTTGCATGCCTGCCTTTTGGCAGATGTGCTGCATCCCCGGCTCACATGGTGCTTCAAAGGAGAGGATCTTCAGAAGATCTCTCGAACCTTGGCTGGCTCCTGCTGCCGGGCTGTGACCGGCCCTCGGGCTGCGGCAAAAATGTCGCAGCAGCTCCGCATAGCTTGGCACTTGCGGCTGGACAGGCTTTGTGGAGAGTGAGGAAAAAATGTCCTCGCGAGCAATGCTGTGGGTTTAGGGCTCCTAGATTTTCAGGTCCAAGGTATAGGGTCTAGGGCAAACTTTTCACGAGTGTTTAATGGACCGTGCTGATTTCCTCGGTATCAAACGAGTTAACATTTCAAGAAAATCTTTCAACACGGATCGGTTTTCAACACATTTCCCTATTCGCACACGTGTTTTTTCTAAGCAAGACTGACTTTGTTCTGTATGGATTTCCGATGATTTTTTGGTTTCCAACATATGCGAAAATATCCTATATTCTACCATATAACCTGTTTTTGCATAGTCTATTTACCAAATAACCGGAAAAATAGACTATGAAACAAGAGCGAAATAGTCTATTTAAAATAGTATATTTCCAGGTAAAATAAACTATTTTGCCAAATAGGATATATGTCCCAAAATAGCCTAACCTGATCTTAGAGGTCGCACTTCCTGCAGCCGACGTCGTAGGCGTTGTGTCTGGTGGAGGCTTGGGTCGCGTGGACGTCGTGGCGAACCTCCACCAGGCGCTGCACGATGCCCATCTAGGTCGGTGCGGCACTCCGCCAGTATGGAGATCAGCGCAGACAACCCAAAATTCCTTAATTAAGGAATATAGCTTAAATCATATTATGAAGCCCCTTATAATTTAAGGTATATTCCTTAATTAAGGGGCATTGGGTTCTCTGGGAGGTGGGACGGCAAGCATTCGAAGTCTCGGCCCGCACCAGACAACCTTTGAAGGACCGTTGCCCCGCCTGGCCGGCCAGCTCTCGTGTACAAGTACTGATCTTCCAGGTCCATCTGTAATGCTCACGCTTTAAACCCTGGCTGTGGATCCCACAACCTCTCACTTTCAGGGTTGAACGCCATATTTCAAGGGTCAGGAACTCTTATTTTGCAGGGTTTGGGGTTACAGGTATGCCCCTTAAACCTAAACCCTAAAGCAACCCAAAACCTGAACCCTATGCCCAAACCGATTGCAGCCACCACGCTGTTCTAAAGCTTCCTTCAGGTCTTCGATCTGGTCCAGCTCCTCGCGGCTAAGGTGTAGGGTTTACCTGGGGATCCGAAACCCTACCGTTTTAAGGGTTCTACCCTCTAATGAAGGGGTCATAACCTACCATTTTGTAGGGTTTGGGGTCAGGGTTTAGAGTTTAGAGTTTTTTACTGCTGTGTGGGGGCTTCGTGGTTAACTAGTGCACGGTGGGATATTCAGGGTTTAGGACTTCTTCGGGTTTAGGGTATAGGACTCTAGTGAAGAGTATGTGATCAGGACTTGAGACACATACCTTAACAGCTGGAATAGGTGTTGGGGGATGTTGCATTGTAGAACTGCACGGGCTGCATTTGGACACTGCTGCTCAATGTTCGACCCCGCAGTACAACGGCGTGTAACGAAGGAATGCCGCTTGGATTTCTCAACAATCAAGTCCATAGCTTATGAAATCCCTGTCAAACCGTGTAAGCCGTTAAACACCTGTAAACTCCGCCCGAAACATCAAAAAAATGTAGGGGCTTTAATAACTAGAATCTGGTCTTGGGGTATCTTGTACTAAAAACATGATAAGGAACCCCGAAGACAATATTGGTAAATGTTCAACCGTATACTACCCTCAATCTCTAAATCAGCAAACTTTGAACCCGAACCCCCCATTTCAAAGTTGCATGCCGTCCTTTAGCCAGCTCTGGAACATCCTTGGCGACGTTTTAAGACATTACCCTAAGGCTCCATGTACCCAAATAGGATATACTGAAGCCCCAAAGTACCTAAAATAGGGACTACTTTAAGGTCAAAGTATATACTATATTTGGGTACCTGGACCCTCTGGGATAAGGTTTCGGAGCCGCGCGTCAGAGGTCTGTAAATCCTGGGGCCCAGGTACCTTTGTTTGTCTAGGTTCCCCCTCCCTAAAGGTTTAGAGGTCTAACGTTTAGGGTGGCTTAGGATAGCTTGCATAAGATGGTTTAGGATGGCCCAGGATGGCTTACAAAAGATTGTTCAGGATGGCTTAAGATTGTTGAGGATGGTTTGAGCTGGTCTAGGATGGTTTAGGACGGTTTCGGATTTAGGGCTGGGGGCAGGCCGAAGGTGTAGCATTGTTGGAGATCTTGCTGTTGGGTTAGCACCCGGCACACAAGGAACATCCGGAGATCTCTGAACAGAACCTACGATCACCCACACGTCCCAACCCTAAACCCTGAACCCTCAACCCTAGACCATAAACCCTAAGCCCTCAACCCTAAACCCAATAACCACATCAACAAACCCGTGTGTAAGAGTCCATGTGCCAAAGTAGTATCTGGTTGGATCCTAGACCCTTCGGCTCTAAGGAGTCATATTTTAAGGCGTCTGGGCCGAAATACCATACTATGTAAGGCTTTTGGGCTATTTTGAGCCTCAGGGAAGATACTTAAGTTTTGACCCCTTCGAGGCCACTGTATCTGCTATATGGCTATATGTGCACACACACAGTGAGCTCCAGATAGTTGGAACATGGATTCAGGATGAGTCGGGCTCGGATTTCGTATACTTGACCTTAAAACGGCATCAAGATCATGATGCTCAAGTTCCTGGCTTCTACTTTCAACCTTGTGCGCCTTGAGGATCAACATAAACACAATAACCTTGAATAACCCCTTCTCATAATAACAACATGTAACAAGTACGTATACCTAAGAGAACTCAAGTAGACCCCGCGGGTTTTCGACATGTACAGTTGGAATTACCTTACCCTGAGGCTCCATTGTACCCATGTAGTATATACTTAGGCCTTAAAGTACCTATATAGGGAGCCCTTTAAGGCTTAAGTATCTACTAGAAGGGTACATGGAGCCTTTGGGTTACTGAGTCCCGTGAACCTTTATGAAAGTCATGCCGGGGCACCGTAGGTGACGGGGAGCCGCACGAGGGCACATCCTGAAAAGCTCTTTGAGGGTTTATGTGGGGATCCAAAACCCTACTTGGAGGTTCATGGGACTTAGTAAGTGCAGTTATAAGTACCCTAATTGGGACTATAAGTACATATAAGTGTAGTTACCCTAATTATAACCCTAGTTACTAAGTCCCATGAACCTCCAAGTAGTGCTTTAAGGGTTACCTAGGTACTTTAAACAGTACCAAGTTTTTACGCTTAGTCATGTACGGAGCCGGAAAAGTGAGGTTCTGAAGTAACAGGTACCGTTTGCGGGGGTTTCGAATTTTGGACCAACTCTGCGCCGGACACCCATGCCTTGAACCATCTTAGAGCGTTCGCACCGAGGGTCCACGTACTCATGCAGTATATGCTATGGCCATGAAGTACCTTCATGTAGGGACTGCTTTCAGGCCAAAGCATCTACTATGTGAGTACATCGACACCCAGGGATACTAGGCTCGTCGTCTTGTAGATGTTTGGGCCCAGCCCTAAACCCTAAACCGTATATACTGTTGCTTGCACCCTTTGGGCCTTTTAGAATCCCTTTAGTTCGTGGAGCCCCATGGAGTCTTGCAGATCCCTTCAAAAGGAACCCTAAATCCTGTCAGATCCCTCTAAAGGAACCCTAGACCAATCTAGATCCCTCGAACCCGAAGCCCTTATCGATCCCTGTCCAGGAACCCTATGAGCCCTCTATAGATCCCTTTGAAGGAACCCTTATCCCGGTATAGATCCTCTTAAAGGAGCCCAAAACCCTGATCGATCCCCCACTGGAACGCTAAACCCTTGTATCAAAGGGGAAAGGAGGGACCTTTAATGGGGACCCCTACCCTATAATGGGCTATATAATGGGTAAATAATTGTTATATTAAGGGTATATGCCTAGGGGTCCTTATTAAGGGTCCCTCCTTTCACCCTTGGATTGTAGATACGATTTTAAGGTTTAAGGTTTGGGGTTCAGGGTTTAGGCCCCCATATTATAGCCACCCTTAGCGAAGCCTCTAAAGGAAGCCTGGACCCTTCCCAAAGGCTCCATGTACCTTTATAGTAGAGACTTAAGCCTTAAAAGGGCTCCCTATATCGGTACTTTAAGGCCTAAGTATATACTACATGGGTACCATGGAGCCTTATACCCTAAAACCTATGAATCCCTTTGGAGGAACCCTTGAAGGAATCCCATTTTGGGTACCATGGGGCCTTCGGGCTTAGACCTTTTTTGCAACAAACTAAACCCTAAACCCCTAGACCCCTAAAGCTTCAACCCTAAACCCCTAGACCCCTAAAGCTTAAACCCTAAACCCCTAAACGCTTAAACACTAAACCCTAAACCCCTAAAGCTTGAACCGTAAACCCTAAGCCCCTTAAAACAACCGGAAGCCAAGGATCTTCCGCAAGAAAGCAGTCAGCGTGAGCTTCGACACCTGGGTTTAGGGTTTAGGGGTTTAGGGTTTGGGGTTTGGGGTTTAGGGTTTAGGGTTTAGGGCCTGGGGCACAAAAAGAGGAGTTGGGCCTTTACTTCGGGTTCCTTTAAGGGGTTCTTTAAGGGTTCCTTTAAAAGGGTCCTATATAGGGTTTGGGGTGTCAGCGTTAGCTTCGACACCTGGGGCACAAACAGAGGAGTTGCCTTCACGGGTTCCCGTTTAGGGTTTAGGGTTTGGGGAATTAAGGACGCAAAACTACTATTTGCTTAAGAACCCCCAAAAAATAAAAAATATATTCCTTATAGGGATAATATAGGGATTATCATTTTTTTATTTTGTGGGGGTTCTTAAGCAAATAGTAGAAAAAGGTTACCTGCAAAGGGTGCTATAAAGATTCCTGTAAGGGTTCCTTGAAGCCGTTAACGAATCTATCACAGATCTCTAAAGAAATCCTTTATGGGGATCTATGAGGGATCTTTATGGCTTGCTTCCAGGGTACTTTAAGAGTTAAGGATCCACCAGCAACCCCCCCCGAAGTACCCTGTGGTAGATGGTCCTTCATATCGGGTACTTAGGCTCTCATAGGGGTAGTTGAGGGGTGCTGGCAAGGGTTAGGGTTTGGAATCGGGCATATTGAAAGTTTAGCGTTTAGGGTGGGCCATCGTTCTGTAGGGTTTTGGGATGATATCGGGATCTTCGAGAACAGGTGAATACGACCGAGTTTTTCTTAGAGACATCAATCAAGGCCTATAGAATTCTTGGCTTTAGGCTTGGAGGTCTCAAGGTTTTGGAATTCGGGGGGTGTATAAGCGGCAGGGCTCTGATGCGAGGCGTAACTTCAAAGAACTTCTCCTGCTTTTACACCTGGATATCCAATGGTGTCTGGAACAGGGGATCTTGATACGGGCCGCTGCAAGCAGCAAGCGACGCACTGGTATAGGAAATGCCACCAGAGGAACACGAAATTGCGATGCAATGATAATCATCTTGGCCGTGCCCCGCCGCCAAGCCGAAAACCATGACGAGAGCCGCCACGAAGGCATCCCAACTCTCGTCGATCATCCGCAGCAGGAACCTCGAGTTGACCAGAGGCTTGGGACGCCCCTCATCACCGAAGTCCTTCTCGCCTTAGAGTCCACGGCGACACCTGAGGATACCATGAATGCTGCGGCGAAACCCAGAGGGTCCAAGTACCCAAATAATAGGGTTGGACAACTTCCAAGCCGAAGTGTTTACTAGATCGCTACATGGACCCTTAAGGCATACTAAGCCCCCCTAAACCCTAAACCCTTAAGGGTTGCCTGAGGTGCCCTGAACGGAACCCTCAAAAGACAGCCCTGCCCCAACATTACGGTAAACCCTAAACCCTAAACTCTAGGCCCTAAACCTCTAAGCCCTAAACCCTAAACCCCTAAACCCTTTAAACCCCTTAACCCTAAAGCCCTAAACCCTAAACCCAGACACGAACTCTTTCCTCAGCCGACGGACCCCAGCATCTCGCATCCCATCGAAGTCGTGCAGCGCTTTTGCCAGTTTGGTGCACCAAAGGTCCCTGGGCTCAGGGTTTCGGGGCTCAGGGTTTAGGGCATATTTAAGGTTTAGGGTTTAGGATTAGGGTTTAGAGTTTAGGGCTTACCAGGACCCCCCCCAAGTGCCCTTGTAAGGGCTCTGATATTTCTCATTAACAGCTAATTTGGGGCTACAATAAAGGGTAGTTGGGGGGTCTAGGTAGGGTTTCGGGGTTTGGGGGTTTACGCTTTTGGGGTTTTTGGAGTGGTAAGGTTTAGGGGTTTTAGGGTGTACCAGCACCTCCCCCCAGCCCAAGTCCTGTTTCAATAGAGCCCTTACGGTCAATAAAGTGGGTATTTAGGTTAGGGCTTCGCGCATTAAGGCTTAATAGCTTATTTATGGAGTTCGGAGTTCACTGAAACTAACTTAGGTATTGCCCGGAGTAACCGATGTGCCTGCCAAAAAACATGACCGCAAAAGTCAAAAGACAATGGGTCCTGCTGTTTTTGTTTCAGGTACCTTGCCTTCCCTCAGCAGGGTACACCGTTTTAAAAAAAGGGCTTGGGGTTACTACACTTTGGGCTTGCGGGATTCCCGTGCTTTGTCACTAGCCTGCCATACAAGGAATTAGACATTCGCTGATGTGCAAAGTGCTATTTGAGGTTGTCGTTTAGATGGTTCGGTGGTTGAGTAGACATAGCATCAATTTGTCAGAATAGTCTCAAGCAGCAGAAGTGGGGCACACTTTCGGCGCTGAAGCTAACAATACTCATAAACTTGGAACTGTAGGGCACCTACGACAACTTAACCCCCTCGTAGTGACCCGCAACAGGGAACCCTAAACCTTAAACCTTAACGCCTTACACCCCAAACCAGTAGATGGAGCTGACCCTCGGCACCGTCTGTAAACATCGAAAAACGTTGCCTTTGTTCATGTATTGTAAAAAAACTACGGGGCCGCACAAAGACGAAATTCAGAACGAGCCACCACTGCTCCGAAACACGCAATCCCCGAACAGCAGCATAATAGAGATGGACAGAGAAAAGGAGATCACAATCCCCGGCAGCTTCTGCGACCTTCATCCCGAAGAGCATACACCCAAAACAACTTGCAAATGTCTATGGGCCTAAATCCCACATCCTCACCCTCCAGAACCAACGCCACTAAATCCGAAAGCCTACTCAACCCTGTCACTGATAGCCTATATGTAACTAAGTATACGCAAGCATTAACAAACATCTGTTGAATGAGCGGTATATGATACGACTAAATAGTACTGACATAGATAATATCAGCTTGATCGTTATCTGTTGTCATACATGCACACACACACACACATATATATATATATACATATGTATATATATACATATATGCAAACACGTCCATACATACACACATACATGCACACACACACACACACAGACTTATTCAACGAGCCCAAGGGGCGGTTCGATGGATTTTCCGATCGCCTTCTCCGCCTGCGTGGTCGAGGAGGACAACGCAAAAACTCCAAAACGCATAAACGATCCCTGAAAGGATCCCTTAAAGGATCCCGAAAATCCTAAACCCCTAATCCCTAAAACCCTTACAGTACACCCTGTGGGGCCTAAACGCCTACACTTACACCCCATTTGGCCCTAAAGCCCCCCAAAGTCCAAACCCTAAACCCCGAAGCCTGCGCGTGGTCGAGGGAGAAGTTGCACTCTTGGAGACCTCAGCTCACGAAGACTCCAAAACCCATAACTGAGGATGCCTAGAGTAACCAGTTACCTTTCCGGTTTTCGGAACAACCGTATCCATTTTGGGTTTTGAGGAACATTGGTTGCTGTAGGTATACTACAGATCTTCTTAGGGATCCCGTTTACATAGAAAGTGAGGTATTGGCCTTGAATGCCGTGGTTTTGAAGTCCCTGGGCTCAGAGGCATTTACTGTTAGGGCTCGGGGGTCGTAGGGGTCTGCAAGACGGGACTCAAAACTTGGAGTAGGGTACGGCCAAAGTGTAGGGTTTCGGCTTACTGCAACTGCCTTAAGACCTGGAATAGGGCTAGTGAAAGATTATCGTAAGTGCGACGGAGATGGAACGCGTTTGATGGCATGAGTGGCCTGAACAACGAGTGCGAAGTTGGAGAAAGCATTACACAGTTTTTGAGGCAGTGCTAACCAACTTCATTCTATACCCGATGCTCTAAACCTTCAAATGTTTGTTCTATGCCCGAGGGGCCCTAAACACAAAACCCCAAACTCTGAAATCAAATCAAAAGCCTGTTTCCCTAGGTTTGCAAGCCCGAGCTGCAGCTCGGCCCGTAACCCTACTTAGAGGATCGATGTGCCCCTGAGTAACTAGGAATATAAACATAGGTAACTAGACTTCTAACGACTGTAATCCCTATATTCAGGTAGGGCTATTTAACAGGGCCAGGTAACTAAGCTTCTAAATCCCAAAGCTCATGCCCCCCCCCAGAGTGAAAAACAAAAACCAAAAACTATCCCCTAAAGCCTCAACCCTTAACCCTGAACCCACCAAAAAGGAGCTACAACCCTAAAGCCTCAAAGTCGTGGCAGACCCAGGGGCAGATGTCAAGCACGTCTCGAGCGATGCCAATCTCACTCCGCGTAAGAAATGCCTGGGTTTAACGGTTTAGGGGTTTAGAATTTAGGGTTTTGGGGTTTACGGTTCAGGGTTCAGGGGTTTCGGGCTTTAGGGGTTTAGGGCTCTAGGTGATTAGGTTTAGGGTCTAGGGTTTAGGCTATTGAAATCTGGAGGCCCTAAACCCTAAACCCTACACCCTACCTTGACCTGAGACTTTAAGCACAAAACAATAATGCCTAGGTTCAGGGCTTGAGGGTTCAGGGCTTGTAAGGCTTATGGCTTCGTGCGTGCTTGACATGTCGAGTTTAGGGTTAAAGGCTTTAGGGTTTACGGGGTCGAGGTTCCGGAAGGATTAGAGCTTAGGGTTGCTTGTAGACCCTAAACAGTTAACCCTACTTTAATCCTAGAACTTCGACTAAATCTCTATTTGCAGGGCTTCTTATCAGGATTTCCTGATATAGCTCCTGAAAAGTTTGAGGTTTGGAGCCATGGGGGCTGTACTCTACTACGCTTGTCTACGGACTATAACCAAGTACGGTTGTTATTTGTTGGCCCCAATTTTAACTTCCGCGGTTCAAGCAGGCAGGTGTAGGTAGATTCCGAGAGCCATAAGTGCAGACACGGTCCCGAATTATGAATTCCTGCAAAGCTGTACGTTATTATTAAGTATAGGTGCCAAGGTAAACACCGAAATCACAAGTTTCGGGGCGGGGGAGCCGGGGCTATAACAAACCGCGTCGGTATGCAGGCCACATGTCTGATTTGTGTGTAGAGGGAATATGGCGAAACGTAGGGACCTTATAACAACCCTTATAGTGATCCTTAAAGTAACACTAAACCTAAGAGTAACCTAGGGTATGAAAAGGGTGCCCTTTTTGGTTTAAAGGGGGTTAGAAGGGAACCTAAACCCCAAAAACGGAATGAGGGCCTACTCTGGGTTCTAGAACACGGGATTCTTAACTTCGGTAGTTTATACCGCAGGAGCGACGTCCAAGTCTTTTTAAGGACTCTCACCGGCAAGCTGCAAAACACCTATACTGAACTTAGACCCACAGCAAAATCTCAGTTTTAGCTGTTTCTTGGGGCCAGGGATTAAAGGAGCCAAAGATTGAACATTATTTCCAAGTGCCCCTAAGAAACACCTGAGCTTTTACCCAATGGCTCAGCTTGACAAAATTGCAGGGCCCCCCAACACTGAATCCAGTAACGCAGCCCTACAGGCCTCAGGGGAACCCCGAACTTAAGATACAACTAAAACTAGACCCTCAAAAAGCATCGCTAAGCCCTAACCCTAAAGGTGTGGAGGGACCCTCAGCTAACCCTAAATCTTTAACCCTAAATCCCACCCCCAATCCCCAAACCCTGACCCCTAAACCCTGACCATGTGCCCTGAGCCCTCAACCATGCTTTTCGTCCATGTACCCAAATAGTATAATTATACTTTGGCGTGAAACGAACCTCTATTTTGGGTACCATGGACCCTCGGGTTCTTTTCGCCCTAAACCCTACCCCCCTAAACCCCAAACCCTTAAACCCCTAAACCCTAAACCCCTAAACCCTCAACCCCTCAACCCCTGAACCCTAAACCTATATACTATATAAATCCTAGGGCTCTTTTCGCTTCAAGGGGCCGAATCCAAGGAGGCCGCCGTCTCCATGGGCGGGTCTACCGGTGCGATGTGCGAGAGCTTGAAGCGCCTGGCAAACTAGAGGTTTCGGGTTTAGGCTTTAGGAGTTTAGGGTTTAGGGTTTAGGGTTTAGGGTTTAGGAGTTTAGGGTTTAGGGTTTAGGAGTTTAGGGTTTAGGCTTTAGGAGTTTAGGGTTTAGGGTTTAGGAGTTTAGGGTTTAGGGTTTAGGAGTTTAGGGTTTAGGGGTCTAGGCTTTAGGGTTTAGGAGTCTAGGCTTTAGGGTTTAGGGTTTAGGAGTTTAGGGTTTAGGGTTTAGGGTTTAGAGATTAGGGTTTAGGGTTTAGAGATTAGGGTTTAGGGGGAAGGTCTTAAACATTTGAATAGGGTTTTGGGACCTGGTATACTAATATGATAAGGAAGCGCCTGGGTTTAGGGGCTTGGGGTTTTTAGGTGCTTAGGGGCTTAGGGTTTAGGGGTTCGGGAATTTCGGGCTTCGGGTTTAGGTTTGAGGTGCTTGTGTTTAGAGTTCTACGGTTCAGTGGTCTTATAATTAGAGTTTGGGGCTTCCTGCTGTTTGGGGTTAAGCTGGGTTCTGGGCTTCGGTTGGGCCGAGATCTTCCAACACCCCTTAATAACGAACCCTGAGGGTCCATGTACCCAAATAGTATATACTTTAGCCTTAAAGTAGTCCCCATATAGGTACTTTGGGACCAAAGTATATGCTATTTGGGTACATGGACCCTTAGGGGAAGGGCACCTTGTTATATTACATTACCACTTGTCGGGTATCATGGGGAACTAAAGGTTAACTGTTTTGGGTATATAGGGGTTAAACAGGGACTATAAAACCCAAACAATGTTAAAGGTTACCTACCCTACAACTAGGCATTAAGATCCCTGATGTCACTGTAAGAACATTGGGAGTACCTGAAACTATAGTAGGATCCTGATCTGACTTAAGGAATACTAGGAATATGCCTTTATTAAGGGAGTTTTGAAGATCTGTGGCTAGACCCAAGAGTAGCCTAGGAATAAAAAGGTTGCCCTTTTTGGTTTAAAGTGGGTTATAAGGGAACCTGAACCCTAAAAAAGGGAATAAGGGCCTACTTTAGGTCGTAAGGGAGTTTTGAAGATCTGTGGAAATCAAGGAGTTGTGCATGCCAATGACTCTGCTCTCGCATCTCGGACCCTGAGTTGGAGTTCGTCCAATGAACAGGTGGTAGGGTTTAGGGTTTAGGGTTTAGGGTTTAGGGTTTAGGGTAGGCTTTGACTTCCTTACTTGGGCTATGCTCGGTTAGAATCGGTGAGAATTCGTAAGTAGAGTTACTTATATTATTCAAAACCCTCGTAACCAAGTCCCCTGTACCTTCAAGTAGGGCAGGGTCTCTGCACATCCCTGGCACCCTGCACTGCTTGGCATCCCTGCCCTGCCGATTTATTCAGGCCCACGGCAGTACCGAAACCCCAAACCTGAGACCCGAATCCAGGACCCCCCAAGTGCCCTTTCTAGAGCTCTGCTATTTCTCATGAAGAGGTAACTCGGGGCAACAATTACAAAAGTCTAGTTGGGGGGTCTAGGTAAACCCTCGAAGCTCAAAAGCACTAGACGCAAGTCTTAATAGACCCCTTCAAGGATACAACAAGGCGACCTTGCTTGCCTTGTTGCAGAGCCCTCAACCTGAACTCGGATACCCAAACTCATAGAACCTATGTCGAACCTTCACAGGAAACCTCACAGATCTCTTGAATAGTCCCCTTTCAAGGGTTGAAACCATGGGCCCCTAGTTGGGCCCTTAACCTTGGGATCCCTAAATACCTACCATATACCCTATATAGACTCTTAAAGGGGCCCTAGAGCTCCCTCAGAAAGGATTAAGGGTCCATATTAGGCGCCCCCATAATAATTCTAACCTGAGACTAGACCTAAGAGTAGCCTAGGAATAAAAAGGGTGCCCTGTTTGGGTTAAAGGGGGTTATAAGGGAACCTAAACCCTTAAAAAGGGAATAAGGGCCTACTCTGGGTCCTAGGAGACCCTTACAGCAACCCTCACCCTAAACCCGCGACGTTCCTGTCTTCGTCTTCGAACATCTCGGGGTCGTCATCTTCCCCTGGGACAGCCTCGGGCAAGATGTTCTCATCCATTTCCCCAAAGTTGAAGGCTTTTTGAGGGTTTAGGGGTTTAGGGGTTTGGGGTTTAGGGGTTTAGGGGTTTGGGGTTTGGGGTTTAGGGTTTGGAGCCGACAACCTACTGTGTCACGACTTCGTTTGGGGTTGAGGGTATAGGGATTGGGCTCTGTGGCCTATAGCTCAAACTTATAGTAAGTGTATATACTACTTACTAGATGACAAGCACTTTCAGGCCCAAGTCTGTACTATGTAGCTCAAAGTTATAGCCGCTAATCTATATACTTGGGGCCTAAAGTACTATTCGATGAGAAGCCCTTCACGGCACCTCAGTATGTACTATTTAGGTGCATGAAGCACTACCTATAGTCTCCATTGTAGTTCCTTTTTGGTTTAACCAATTATATATTAAGGATTCTAAACGGTAACCCCAAAAAGGAACTACAATGGAGACTACAGGTAGGACCAACAGGTCAGGATTCAATCAACGGTTTCCGCTACTTGTACCAGGTTTCCTTGAAGCCGTAGGATTGCAAGTCGTAGTCAAAAGACTCGTGCCTATGAGATAAGCTTTTTTTGCGTTTAGGGTTGAGGGTTGAAGGCTTAGCTTTAAGGAAGACGGCTACAGAAAACAAGAAAGGCATCAGTGGAGGAGCATATCCCCCAACAAACACAAGAACCCGGGGACCTCTATCAGCAAAGGCACAAAGCGCTCCAGAAACAGCGCGAACGGAACAGCCAGGGGATCGTCACTCTCGCCCAGGAACCAATCCTGGGGGTTTACGTATGTTTCGATTTTGAGGCTTTTCTGAGTTGGTCTGGTCAAGTTTAGGGTAGACCGTCGGTTTTTCAATATCATTGTGGCTTCGACCACAGGGCTTAGGGCTTACGAGGGTTTAGGTTTGAGATTGAATTCTGGGTTTAATGTGACTTGAAGTTAAGACAGCGCATATCGGCGTGTCCAGTGATAGTCAAGGTGTTCCGGTTTAGGGCCAGTTTAGGGGGCTAAGTAGTGCTTCGCATTTCTATAGAGGGCTTCGGTCTTACATGCGCATCTGAAGCATCATCCTGTGTCAACCAATCACGCACAACCTTAGCACAGCACAACCCTAAACCCTAAACCCTAAACCATCACAGGTCACACCCGCAGGGCCTGCACAGACTCAGCACTCCAACTCTAGCGCAAACTCAGTAAACTGACGCTGGTTGGAAAATGGGTAACAAACATGTCCAGCACCCTTCGGAAACTGAAGGTTATCGCTGGGCGTATATTGGATTATATAGGGATGATAGTACCTCGAAAAAGGGTGGATGATGAGTGTTGAGATGTGCCAAAGTTGACCTGAAGGGCATCTGGATCACGATTTAGGGTTCTGGGGTTTAGGGGGTTTAGGCTATAGGGGTTTGGGCATTAGGATTCAATGTCCCAACTTTCGTCTGCTTGTTGTTGCCACAAGTGAACATTACCGAATCAAATGACAGGTTGTAGTTTGTGGGAGCTCGAAGTCAAGCGATTTAGTGAGTCCACGACTTATCCTACATTCATGTACTGGCCAAAGTAAAATCCGTAAGAAGAACGTCCATTGAAAACCGCATGGCAACCCCTCCGTTCCCCCACCAACAAGATAGAAATCACCAAAGTACGCTAAACCCTAAACTCTTCCAAAAGAAAAACATGTTCACCCCCCCCCCCCTCCCCCACGGACCCCAAACCCCCCATAACCTGCACCATGGCCTCCATGATAGCAAAGGGCGCAGAGGCGTTGGACAGCAGCGCATGCCCCTCACCTTTGACCGGGGTCCAGCGATTGACCTAACAGGCTCCACCTAGGGCTCCAGTTACCTAAATAGTAAGTTACTAAGGGCTCCAGTTACCTAAGTAGTAGGTTACTAAGGGCTCCAGTTACCTAAATAGTAGGTTACTAAGGGCTCCAGTTACCTAAATAGTAGGTTACTGGGGTACCTAATATATATGGTTTGTAACCTACTACCCTAAGGGTCCATGTACCCGAATAGTATAGACTTTGGCCTTAAAGTAGTCGCTATATAGGTACTTTGGAGCCAAAGTATGTACTATTTGGGTACATGGACCCTTAGGGCTATTTAGGTAACTGGAGCCCTATAGGGTCGCCCATACACCCAAAAGCTTCAGCCGTGGGAATGAAGAACCCAACCTGCTCCTAACCTGCCAAAAACTGTCTCCAAGGCTCGAAGATCTGAAGGATGTAATGTAGACCCCAAAAAGTTGGAAACCGGATTAAGGACAATCAGTGCTGGGATTCCCTTTACATCACTCTTAAGGATTGAGGCTATTGGGTTTCCAGCTTTTGGGCTTCTACTGTAACTTAGTTGCTGAGTTCATAAGCCATCAAAAGTGGAGACCTTTAGTTGTATAGTGGGTGATATTATCCCAAAAAGTGTAAAGTGTATCCACTCAGCTACTACTGCAATACAGCGGACAGTTTGAGCTCCTGTTTGGGCTGGAACAATCCCGGAGGCTCCACAGAGCTTCATGCGTGGTTATTCGTCATTCAAGGGGTGCCTATCTATATATATATATATATATATATATATATATATATCTATATATATATATAATCGTATGTATATTTCGTATATATATATATATATATATGTATATGTATAGATAGGTACTCTGGGGTCGAAGATGGTCGACATACATACGATAGGTAGGTGGATCGATCGGAGATGTATGCCGAACCGTCCTTGAGCAGAAGGTAGCAGCTGCAGTTGCACTACAGGAGCAGGGCGGAGGAGGCGGAGGAGCAGGAGAAGGAGGAAGAGTGGGAGTAGGAGTAGGAGTAGGAGTATAGGCGTCGTCGCAGTATAGCAGTGGCATTTAGCAGCAGCAGCAGCAGCAGCAGCAGCAGTCGCAGCAGCAGCAGCAGTCGCAGCAGTCGCAGCAGCAGGTAGCAGGTAGCAGGTAGTAGGCAGCAGGTGGCAGCAGCAGGAGAGGGAGCAGGATCAGGAGCAGGAGCAGTCCCATTGGACTCCAAATAAGTACAACAGTACAACCGTCTGATACACCCTGAACCCTGTAAACCCGAAACCGCCAACTCCTGAAACCATCAAAGGAGCCGGGCGGTAGTCGCACCGCTGCTGCGCGAAGGATCCTTGGCTGCGATCGCGCGCGCGCGCGCGCGGCGAACGACATCAAACGGGGAACGTGCATGTGTTCGGAGCTCTGTAAATTGTAATGTACATTTTTTACACCGATTGAAAGAAGCATACATTGCAATGTACAGGGACCGTGGATGTAATAGTGCCGGGATTCCCTATACATAACTCTTAAGGACTGAGGCTATGGGGTTTCCAACTTTGGGGCTTCTACTGTAGGGTCGCGAGATCTTTTCTTAAGGCGTGGGCTTGCCGTTGGCATTCGCTCGTGTTCCAGGTTTTACGCTTGCATGGAGCGGGTTTCACGGCTTTCAGGTTCTGAAGCTTACTGTGCAGGTTTACACTTCTGCATTCCGAGACGAGCGATCTCCCCATCATGCTCCGCAAAGTTACCGATCTGGCGCGCTCTTTGCTTGCAAAGGTTCAAGCTTAAACCCGTATGGCTCAAGGGCGTCCTTACCTAACTCGTTAAGCCGTCAACGCCAGAGACTAACACCGAGACAGCATACTCCAAGGGCTCACTTCATGACCAACCTGTTGGGGCAGAGGTTTTAATCGGTTAGCGAAAGTATACACACAAGACACATGTATGCGTCTATGCAGATCTACTCCGAACATTAATGTACCTTTGTCTGCTCAACACGAGGCAAACCCCAAGCCCCACCACCTTAACTCCGTAAAGCCTGTCACATGTAAAACTTAAACAGGAAAGCCACAAGCCGGCCCAACAGCATCAACTTGAATCCCTTGAGGCTCAAAACCCCCTACCCAAAGGCCCCAAAGTAGTTCCTTTTTGGGGTTCATATATAGAATCCTATAGGGTAATCCCAAAAAGGAACTACTTTGGGGCCTCTGGGTAAGCCTTTTGAAGAGCCCGCCAGCCGGATATTAAAAAACAAAAAAGCTTAGCCGAAACCGTCAGCCCCGGAAGTATTCACAGCCTTTAATGAGCGCCTGAACCCTCATCCGGGTTGCCGTGTGAAAAGCTTCCTCCCCAAAGCTTGCTTGCCTCGGACCGTGATGGGTAAATTTACATGCTAAACCCTGAGGCTCCATGTACCTTCATAGTAGATACTTAAGCCTTAAAGGGGTCCCTATATGGGTATTTTGGGGACTAAGTGTATACTATATGGGCACATGGAGCCTTAGGGAAAGGAATCAGGAACTAAATTTCATGCGCTAAAGGTGCTCATCTGGTCTTGCTATGTTTAGGCTTGAAAGCATTTCCAGCATCGGCACATAAGCACAGGCTACACGGGTAACTACAAGTGCAGCCTGTCATTTGTTTATCACAACGAACTCACACCGAAGTATTGTGTTCTCACCTGCGTCCTCCCGGCGCCGTAGCAGCTGTCGCACATTCAGCAATCCGCTGGCTTCCAGAAGAGGCACCAGCTCTCTGCAGCAGGCTCCGCAGGAATGAACGCCCCTTCGACCGACCGGGTCCATTCGCATGGTCTCGCATGGTTTGGACTGGGAACTCCAACCGCAGTGAGGGTCAACGTCGCGTGTCACCGAAAGGGCACGCACAGTGTTCAAAGCGGCGTTGAGGAACGATGCTGGGGCTGGACCCAGAGACTCCATTCTCCCTTAATTAAGGAAGATGCCTTAAAATCATATTGGGGATCCTACTATAATTTAAGGAATATTACTTATAATTAAGGGATATTGGAGTCTCTGGGGATGGAGGGCGCGCAGCGCGCCAGGGAGTGCCGAGGCCAGATCGAATGGCTGCTCAATCTACACCGGTGTTCTTTAAGGGTTTAGGGTTTCGGGTTTATCTTTACATCCTCTGTGTGCGGCATGGTACCTTAAGGACCCAAATGACCCTTAAAAGGGCCCTCTGCTATGCGATAGATACCGATAAGGTATATGGGAGTTTTCGAAAATAGGCGACCTTAGTATAGTACCCTAAATAGTAGGATCCTTATTGCAAGGACCCCAAAATAGGGTATCCCTGACTTTCGGAAACTCCCACATGAACATCAAAGCTTTTAGTGATGATTTTGTCCCAACAAACTCCCGAAACCCTAAACCCTGAACATCCCGACTGAATCTTGAACTTAAAAGAGCCCATATAGAACTGTAAACCCGAAACCGGTACAGGGTTCAGGGTCAAAAGAGCCCTGACCTTAAGGACCAGGTGAGCCTTTGTCCGATATATACATCCCGATATGGTATATGAGGGTTCATTTCGGCCCTAGGGTAGAAGCAACCTGACGCAAACCTCTCCACATCCGAAAAATCCCTATAGAATCCGTAAAGCCTTAAAGGATCCCTTTAAATGGCTCTTAAAAGGAACCTGTAGCAGCGAAGTCCCTAAACCCTAAAAACCCCGACAGTATAGAACCCTCAAAGGAGCCTTAAAAGGAACCTGAAGCAACAAACTGTGGGCCTTATACAGTATGGTTTTCAGGCCCAAAAACTTTATCATATGGATGGTTGTCAAAATTATGGCCCCTTCTTGGGTACCCTATATAATAGGTGCCGCATTAAAGGACCCAAAAAGGAACCATAATTTTGACAACCACCCATATGAATCCTTAGAGCCTTAGGCTAAGGGGAACCTGAAGCAACAAACTCCCTAAACCCTAATCCCTATAGAACCCGTAGAGCCTAAACCCTAAACCCCAAAAACCACTATGGAATCCTTGAAAGAGCCCTTAAAAAGAAACTTGAAGCAACGACCAGACCCTCAAAACCCCCTGAGAATCCTTAACCCTAAACCCCCAAACATCCCTATATAGAATCCTTAAAAGAGCCTGAAAAAGGGGAACCTGAAGCGAACTCTTAAAGGAACCCTTAAAGAAACCCTTAAAAGAGCCCTTAAAAAGGGGAACCTGAAGCGAACTCTTAAAGGAACCCTTAAAGAAGCCCTTAAAAGAGCCCTTAAAAAGGGAACCTGAAACATCCCTATAGAATCCTTAGAAGAACCCTTAAAAAGGGAACCTGAAACATCCCTATAGAATCCCTAAAAGAGCCCAAAAAACATGGGAACCTGAAGCAGCCCACTCCAGGCTGGCGGCTGCTAAACCCTAAACCCCCAAAACCACTATAGAATCCTTAAAAGAGCATTAAAAAGGAACTTGAGACAACAAACAGATCCTCAACCCCCCCTTAGAATCCTTAACACATCCGTATTAGAACCCTTAAAAGACCCTTAAAAAGGGGGAACCTGAAAACAACAAACTCCGGGCTCGCCTGTAGAATCCTTAAAAGAGCCCTTAAAAGGAACCCTATAACCCCTGGAGAATCCTTAAAAGGGGCCCTTAAAAAGGAACCCTTAAAACAACAAACTCCGGGCTCGCCACTGCGAACCCCCCTTAGAGTCCTTAACACTAAACCCCCAAACATCCCTGTAGAACCCTTAATTAAGCCTTAAAAAGGGAACTGAAAACTCCAAGCTCGCCGCTGCTAAACCCTAAACCCTAATTCGCCTCGGCCCCGGCCGAAGCGGTCAGAGATTCCTATTCAAATTCCCCAGTGACCCCACACCAAAAATCGGGGCCACTGCCCCCCCCGGTGAATTCTCGCCCCCTCCAACGGATTTTGGCTTCTGTAGGCGGTCCCACCCAATTTTCCGCCCACCCCTCCCCCCCCCTCTCCCCCCCCCCCTCCCCCCCTCCCCTGACAGGTGCGAGCTTTCTGGAGTTTTCGACGACACGGGACTGCAATGTAGTTATGTGTGGGGCTCGCCTTTAACGCCTGCACCACCGGCTCCGGTGGCGCCCAGCGGCCATGCATGGCTGCCGTCTCTATTTCTTGCAAGGCCTTAATGACTTCAATATACTTTAACTCTATCAAAAAAACCCCAGCAGGGTCTTAGTCATTGTTTGGGCCCCTATGTTGGTATCGAGTTGATGGCTTTGCGTCTCAGGCTTGTTTTAGACGCCCTTTCGTTGGGATAGGCGGAGTAACGTGGTTGAAAAGGCTGTGATGCTTCCCTAATCCAAGACGCCACGAAATCCACAGCCTCAACGGCCCATACTTAAGGCATCCCGCCGCTTGCGAGAGTCTTGGTATCCAGTGTTTCGGAATGACGACACCAAAATTCGTACTGATACTACCACTACTAATACTACTCACAATCATCCTGCTTCGTGTTGCTATGAACATTACTTTTACTATAAGTGCGATTCCAACTGTTACTTTTTTCCTACAAGAGCTTGCTGCAGATAGTAGCCACTCGCCGCATGCGCGTACAGCCGGGCCGAGGCGGACGACGCGCAGCGTTTCAAATTAATCTCCAAACCAACCCTAAACCCTACATCCTAAACCGTAAACCCCCAAATCCTTAAAAGAGCCCTTAAAACAGCAAACTCCAGGCTCGCCGCTGCTATAGAATCCTTAAGAGAGCCCTTAAAAGGAACCCTATAACCCCTATAGAATCCTTGAAGGAGCCCTTTAAAACTCCGGGCTCGCCGCTGCTTAAAAGAGCCCCTAAACCCCAAAACTCACTATAGAATCATAGAAATCGCTATAAAATGCTTAAAAGAGCCCTTAAAAGAGCCCTTAAAACAGCAAACTCCAGGCTCGCCGCTGCTATAGAATCCTTAAGAGAGCCCTTAAAAGGAACCCTATAACCCCTATAGAATCCTTGAAGGAGCCCTTTAAAACTCCGGGCTCGCCGCTGCTTAAAAGAGCCCCTAAACCCCAAAACTCACTATAGAATCATAGAAATCGCTATAAAATGCTTAAAAGAGCCCTTAAAAGAGCCCTTAAAACAGCAAACTCCAGGCTCGCCGCTGCTATAGAATCCTTAAGAGAGCCCTTAAAAGGAACCCTATAACCCCTATAGAATCCTTGAAGGAGCCCTTTAAAACTCCGGGCTCGCGGCTGCTGGACTTCGGAGTGGCGGCCGCCTCGAGGCCAAAGGCGCAGGCGATGCCGTGGAAGAACGAGGAGAGCCTCAATGAATGGGGTTTTGCGGTTTTGGAGTTTAGGGAACGAGGTTTGCAGGTTTAGGAGTTTACGGTTTAGAGTTTTAGGGTCTAGGGTTTGGGGTTTAGGGTTCAGGTTTTAGAGTTCAGGTTTGGGGCTTAGGGTTCGGGGTTC